TTATGTGTATATGCAAATGTGGGGAGAGAAGCAGCTCTAGCGAAGAAAGAAAACAATTTTTCTAGGAAATGACAAGAACAAAAAGAAAAATTGCCTATCCTTGGAGCCCTACTGCACTCAATTAGCACTGTCACAACTTGAGAGCAGAGTTCGGCTGGGCAGATAGGCATAGAGGTTTCCGATAGAATCTTAGCTTCCAGCAGTCACTCCATATGCTGCTTCTGTGATGAGGTGTGGTGTATCTGGGGTTTGGGAAAGCACCTGCTACAGTTTTAAGGGCATCAGCTTCTATTAAACCCTCCCAAACAATCCCACGGAATATACCATTCTGCCTTTTTTAAGACAGATGATATTTCATACTTTAAGCAAGTTCGTATCAGAGGTGTAACCATTAAGCCCTCCTCACCACTCAAGAAAGGACCACCAGAAGATTGTTAATCATGGGTCAGTTTGGGCTGCTTTCCATAGGAATGTTCAGGAAAAAGCCTTTTTGCTCATGGCTGCCTAGAGCTCTTGTCAAAACACTAAATGCAAAGTGTTCAATATTCTGCCATAGGTAATTTTGACTAGGTGGGGATGAGCGGGAGTTGGACTGTTCCAAAAAGCAACAAAAGGCCAAGGTTGGAAAAATGAAATTAAACCTTAAGTATTGCCATATTTTCTGAGTAACAAAAATTCACATTAAACATTTCCAGTTTGACATTCAAAATGCTGCTAAAATAATAAAGGAAAATGAGCATAAACTTTCAGAAACTTTTTCTCACTCAAAAGCTACCTTTTTAAGTAAAACATGTTCATGCAAACATTATGTGTACAACTCTGGAAAGAAGGCATTCACTAATATATTAGCCTGCGATGAAAAATAAAATAGATATCCTCATTTCCAATTTTAGACTACTTCTCTTTGGAAAGAAGTTATGTCTTTAAAATAGCAATTATTTCTAGAGAACACATATATAATCTATTATCCCTGCAGTTGCAAACACAGTCAGAACTACATCAAAGAAGTATTTAAATGGTATGCATTTTTAAAAGTATAGGTAATGAATCTCCATGTACTATTTTTATTCAAGAACACTATGAATACATTGATTCACAGCATATAAACAAAATATAATTTCCTGGAGTTCCTTTGCCTTCAATTGTGTGAAGAACTCATAAAGGGAAATGTAAGTCCAATGGTGTTTTAATGCCCCTATATTTAATATTGTATTAAGAATTACAAATGAAAAAAAAATAGAGGAAAAATATACAGTACCAGTGCATTTCCATCCACTCAACATACTCTAGACTGTAACAAATAAAACATATTATGCATTTTATGATGCAGAGTCAAGGGCATCAACCAACTGATCTGATAATCCAATAAACCATTTGGAAGAAAGACCTTATCCACCTAGATAAGAGCTTTGAGTCAAGCTGCCTATTGGAGCTATTTAGCATCACAAACATACTTAGCAGAGAGCTACTCAAGTATTGCTGTCACTTAGGCACTTCCAGAGAAAGAGCTATCATGTCAATAGGTTTTAGGTTTGAAAAAGAGGCTTTTGTGAGATATTATAAATATTGATTTTACTAACAGAACAGTTTATGAGCTTGTGTACACAATGCCAACCTTTCTATTTATAGCACCCAGTGAGATTTCAATGGGGATCCAAACAACGGGGATTTTTCAGGGGCATCCTGAAAGACACTAAGGGAGCAATAATAATTTAGAGGTTTTTATTTATTTATTTTTTTTTACAAGAAAAAAAAAATCTTGGTTTTGAGAATTCAAATGACAAATCACAGGAAATAAATCAAAGTTCTAATTAATTCTTTTTCTATGGACCTAACAATCTGAATATAATTTGACAATCTACAAGCTAGTGTTAGTAGGGGCTAGAATTAATTTCAAAAGTAGAAAGTAGCCTTTGCCCTTAAAGACTACTGTTCTAGGGACCTCCCTGGTGGTGCAGTGGGTTAAAGCACAGCACTAAGAAGCTACAGCCACTTCAGCATGAGTTCTATCCCAGCCCACCCCAGAGGTGATCCACAAGGTGCGGCAGACCTCTCCTGACCCGCCCACTGCTCCCCTCAGCAGTGTACTTCGTCGATCTGCCTGTTCTGCTCCCCACTCTGTCTCTGGTGAAGCCTCTCACCACCCCTGAGCCTCTGGCCTGTACCCCAGTTCTGTATGCACAAATAAATAAATCTTTAAAAAAAAAAAAAAAAAAAAAAGACTTGTTTTAAAAAGGAAAATAATGTGTAAGTGTATCAAGCATATAGGTATATGCATAATACATGCAGACACAGAAAAAAATTCTGTCTTTATGAAAAATGTTAGGTTCATTTTTCTCATGTACAAGGAACTAAATGTGCTCCTCTTACTGCTATAATATGGCTACTAAAGAAAAACCTCTTACTTATGGGAAAGTATACGATGAACTGTATACGATGAACAGAAAAATAAATCTAAACATAAAAATCCACTTGAAAGAACGACAACGGAAGGTAAATAGTAAAATTGAACTTTACAAAAAAGAGACTCGGTACACTTCTAACTAGACCATATTTCCAGTTTAGAGGAACAAATAGCAATCTCAAGAATTATCATAAATAATGAAACCAAGAAGTATTTACTTAATACTTAATTTTACTTAATTTTATTTAATAAAATTTTCCGACAGCCTTATTTTCAAATAAATAAAATCTGAACAACTGCAACAAATTTCTATATATAATACTACCCACATACACACACACTCACACACAACTGGTGATTCTACCATATCTAAGAGCAAATATATAATGAAGTCACCACAAATAGCTTTCTAAGTGTGATTGCTTTAGAAAAAGAATTTCTTAGAGGTGAATTTATCTTATATTTAGGATTTTTCACAAGTATTTTCCCTTGCCATTCACAGACTTAAGGATGAGAGGATTTACTATTTATTACCCTGAACAAAATTAACATAATACTTTTAACTTTTATGTTAAAATATAAAGTATGATGGGCAAGTTTTTCAGTTCAAATTTAATTACACCATACATATATAAGTTTCCTCTAAGTTCCAAGAGGCTTAAAAGTACCCATAATTCATGCTCTAAATGTTGTATCACATTGCTATACATTTGCCTTTACATACTGATATTATCTGTACTCAAATGAAGCTTTTTAAATCCCCTGAAAAATTTCCTAGGTTATACAATTACCATATTTAAATTAACATTTAATATCAATGTTATAAAAGACATAGCTTTCATTGATGATTTTCAGGAAGATTTAAGAATCATAATATAGTATTTATATTTAGAGAGGTCTACTATTCATTTACCCTTTTAGGTGTCTCACAATGCCCTACAGTGTTTGCTTGAGTCATTCTATTAACCACAAATCTGTATCACTCTTTTCTTGAGTAAGACTATCTCTGCTGTGATTGTTTCTCTTCTGTTTTTATTAAAAATATCCCATTTTTTTCTTCACTAAGCTAGTATGATTACAGAGCACTTTCGCAAACTTTATATTGGTTTTACAATAATCTACCCTGTTTTTCCAAGTAGGTTTACATCTTCTTTGAGGGAAGAAGCTACAGTTTATAATTTTTCATAATCTTAAAAAAGACGAGGACATATTCTTCTTTGTCTTAGAACAAGCGTTTTTTTGTTTGATTCCACCTCCCTCCCCCAATGACTTATATATGTTTTATCAAAGCTTAGGAAGAAATAACTAGAAATATTGGTATTCAGTTAACAAAAGACAACTCAATCCAAGAGATACTAGACATGCTATTCAAATTAATTAAGGATAGGTATACAGGTTTCCATCTCATTAAACATCATTTAATCAAAATGGGGTTATGAAGGCAGATGTTAACAGAATACAAAAGAATCAGTAATAGAAGCTTATGTACTTATTCCGTTAAAATTTTATGTTACAAAGGATCAACATACCCATATGGAAAACACCTCTTCCTTCCAAGAGAACTGAGGTGTAAACTATAATCATCTTGTGCCACAGCTATTCAATATTTAACCAACAGTATAGGCCTAATCTAATACCAAGCATTCAATCATGGGAAATATTTGAGTTCTTTAATTCTTATGCTTTCTTAACTAAATCTTAGATTTGGGTAAAAACAATTGAAATATTTTAACCCATCTTGACTGCTTAAGTTAGCAGTTGTATGTAATGTCTCTATGAAGTGGCATTATTAGAGTTTTATTTATCTAAACAATACTTTGGGAAAAGGGTAGAGAAACCACACACAAAAGACAAACTTTGGAAGTACTGGTAAACTTGAGAACAAGTAAAGTTCAGATGAAGAGTTAGGTGAAAGATAATATAAAGCCGTTTTTTTTTAAGTTGACGGACAAGACTGATGATGATACTTATTGTCATAAAGTAATTGACATCCTTCCCAACATTTTTACTTACATTTGTGTGTAACATACACATAGACCATCATTACACTTGGAATATTTAATGATAAATCGGGTTTAATTTTTGTATATATTATTATTGTTAAACATAGTAAGGTGACCTTGACATTAGCTAGAAGTGAGCAAGGTTTCTATTTACTATTTCTATTCTATTCTATTAAATTCAACTCTTTAGGTCCTCCAGATGGCACAACACGTTAAAGTGCAGCTTTGCAAACTGGCCACAGCGGCTTCAGTGCAAATTCGATATCCGGCCACAGAGGTGACCCACATGGCACAGCAGACCTCTCCTGTCTTGTCCGCTGCTCCCCTCAACAGTGCACTCCATCAATATGCCTGTTCTGCTCCCCACTCTGTCTCTGGTGAATCCTTTCACCACCCCTACACCTCTGGTCTGTACCCCAGTTCTCTATGCATAAATAAATAAATCTTTTTAAAAGTACTGCTCTTTTAACCTCAGTTGCAAAATTCTAATAACTGTATGAGCTACTTGTAACAAAATAATGACCTCAATGTCATCAGGAAACAATAAAAGTGATAACATTTTAGCACATAAATTAATGTTTTGTGCACTTTACCTGATTCTTGAGATCCAGCTTGGGACATGGGCGACCTCCATTGTAAGGTTTTTCTTTTAACCATTTGGATCGAATTCTCACTCCAATCCCACAAGATGAACTGCAAGATCCCCAGCTAGACCAATCGCTTAACTTGCAATCAAATGGACAGGGGATGGTACATTCCTCTTGAATATAACCTAAAAAAAGATATGAGGTCAAATGTGAAATGTGGTCAAAATGTAGTGATCAAATTTACCATTATCAGAGCTCAGATTGTTCAACAATATTACTCCAGTAGCTTCAATAACTTTTTGGTCAAATAAATAAATCAGTTTAAAAAGATGGATACATAAAATTATAAAGGCATTCCATCGATTTCCAGAGAATTGTAACTATATATTTCTAATTTTTTTCTTTCTGTCTTAATATTACAATCAAAACATTTATTTTATTGCATATAAGCCATATTCTTCACTAGCTGATGTCTCTCTAAACTCTTCCCTTGGTTTCATATTATTTCTTCATAGGTAGGGATAGAAATATGTCATATCTGTATATCTATTTTATAGTTATTTTTTTTTCTTTTTTAACATTAGAATGACTTTACATCCCCTTCCCCCAAATACTTGTTAACAAAAATGTACAACCAAGCATTTAAGAATCACCAGGAAAGAGTCTTCTAAGTTGAAAACAGTTCTTTACTTGATATTGTTAAAAGATTAATACTCTAATACCTAGTATAGTTGTAATTCTAGTATACTTTAAAAGGAATTTTGATCATCAACTCAGTTTTAGTGAGTCTACATTTAGTGAGTTCTACATTTAGTGATAAATGTATAAGTAATTGTATGTGACAACCATTCCTTAATATTACAGAAACAGAGTCAAAATTATTCTATTTGCTACTGAATGTAAGAGCAGAAATATCAATTAAATGTAATTAATTCTCATGTCTTATGTGTTTCAAATGAAAAATTCCAGGAGACCTCATATAAGTAAGTTTTAAATATTTGAATGATTATATAGACCCTATATAAAACAGATTTTGAATTAATTCAAGGAGATTTTAAGTTATTTTCTTCTATTCTTGATAGTGAAGCATTTTTTTAAATAAGATTTATTTATTTGTACATACTGAACTGGGGTACAGGCCAGAGGCTCAGGGGTGGTGAAAGGCTTCACCAGAGACAGAGAGGGGAGCAGAACAGTAAGATCAATGAAGTACACTGCTGAGGGGAGCAGCAGGTGGGTCAGGAGAGGTCTGCCATGCCATGTGGTCACCTCCAGGGCAGGCGGGAATCGAACTCATGCGGAAGTGGCTTTAGCTTCTCAGTGCCGTGCTTTAACCCACTGTGCCACCAGAGAGGGCCCAATAGTGAAGCATTTTAATTAGAAAGCCTCTAGCAATGCCAGTTTGTTTTTTCCTTTCAGAGAATCTCCATGCAAGTCAAGATCATAAATTCCAATGAGAATAAAGTAATTTTGATATTTTACAGGAATAACAGTGACATTTATTTTTCAGCATAACTATTTTCATGAAAGAGAATACCCCAGTGGAAATTATAGAACTATTAACAACTTTATGTTCTTACAGCTATCTCATAATTGAAAGGATTGGTTTTACTCACATGCTTGCTTAATGGTCTTTGACAATAGAATATGATCAAACGTGCATAACCACAATGTTAACCTGTCATGTGAAAAATCCAACTTCTGACTACGGGTACTACACTAACAAAATTCAAGTATCTAAATCCAATTGTTATGAAGCTAGCAGTCTTTCTACCAGAATATCTCACATTACATTTGTATCCAGAACACTTTACTTAGAGCAACATATTACTTCACCTGGGGATGCTTTTGAATCCTTTAAGAGTTATCTGCAGATATGCCATTAAGCATGAAGTAGTGATTACAGAATTATCAATAGAGCATATACTTAATATTGTAATTTTGTGAACGATATATAGTATGCATAATAAGTGCCAAAAAAAGTATCTGCTAATGTTGTGGACAACATCCTGAATAGGATACGTTCATAATATTTCTATCTTAGGTTACAATCAGACAAGCTTAAGGACTTATAACCAGTTAGACTGAATTCCAAAGACTAGGTTGGAATGACTTTTCCATTTTTCTTCCTCCATCATCAAGAATACGCAATTTGGGGGCCCTCTCAGGTGGTCCAGGGCTTAAGTCTCAGCACCGTCACTGTGACAATCTGAGTTTGAATACTGGCCATGGAGCTAACCCATCTTGCCCTTTGCTCCCCTTAGCAGAATATTTCAGTGGATCTGCCTATTATCTCCCTACTCTCTCTGATTAATCCTCTCATCCTCTGCTCCTCTGGTTTTGACCTATTGCTATGTGAAATTAAATAAATACATTTAAAAAAATAAATATTTTTTCCTAATAGTAACTTATATTAGGGTATGTGAAAGAAGAAACCATTAATCAGGAAATAACCTAAATTAACCTAAATTTGTCTTATTGTAAAAGTAATGATAAATACACCTGCTAGAAAGAATGTGTTCCATTTACTTTGCTAAAATAATGACACATAATGCCCAAAGTAAGACAGGGTAAAGAAAGAAAATGTCAATTATCCCTACTGCAAAGTAAAAATCAGGGAGAATCTTGTGAATTAAAGTGACCTCATGTCTTTAATTTATGAATACTTAAATTTTTATTATTTTTTTTTTTATTATTGAGAAGCACTACTTTAGGATAACACCTCTACAAATGTACAAATGTGGGTCACCAAACCTACAGTCAAGGAACCCTACCTACAATTTTCTTCTATTATACAAGATTTACTGTTTTTACATTTTAATACTAGTGCTTTAAAGTATATATTTAAGAGTGGACAAGAAAAATGGGTGATTTTTTTAGTTTGTTTTTGTTACAAAGCAAGCAATTTGAAATATTAAAACTTGCCATTGTTCTCCAGGAAAAAAAAAAAACTGGCTGATAAACATTTGTTTAAAATCTCAATTCATTAGTGTGTGGGAAGGTTGTCAGCTTGCTCTGGTATATTTACATTTTGCCCTAAGAATATATTGCTCATGAATGGCAATAGTATGCTTTCAAAGCTGGTTCCAACTTAGTTTAGACTTCTGTGGATTCTGAGAGAGGGGCAGTTGGAAGGGACTTAACATCTTGTCATTCATAAAATTTTATTTACTAAGAAAAAGCTTTTGAAAGTTACCCCTAATCATTAGAATATATATTCTCTATGCAAACAACTCCAGCAGCATAAACTACAGTATTCAACACTGTAGAATAACGGTTAAGATAATGCAAATAAAAGATATCATATTTGTACCCACAATCTAATACCATTTTAGAAGTTATGCAAAGTTTAAAGGGTCTATTGATAAAGTTTTCCTGGATTTCTTAAAAAATATGTATTTCAGGGCCCTCCCTGGTGGTGCAAAGAGTTAAAGTGCAGCACTATGAGATCCCCACATGGCACAGCAGACCTCTCTTGTCTCACCTGCTGTTCCCCTCAGCACATCTGCCTGTTCTGTTCTCTGTCTCTGGTGAATCCTTTCAAACCCCCCAGGCCCCACACCTTTGGCCTATACCCCATTTCTTGTATGCACAAATAAAATTTTAAAAAAGTTGTATACACACACATAAACACACACACACATATATACATTTATATACATATATATATATATATTTTACAACTTAATTATTACATTTCATTCTACTATCTGAATACCCTTAAAGCTTCCCTAATTAAAAATGTAATGTGCTGGTGCATTTTAACTTTTATATAGATGAACTATTCAAGGTCATCTAGTATAAACATTTCATTTTACTAGCTGGTAATTAGGAAACTGGAACCAAGATTTGATTGTTATATTTTTACCATGACCTCAGGATGTTTTCTTTAGTACTGGCATGACAATGTAGAGAATCAACCTTGTTATTGAGTACAATTTATATGTCAGAATAGATCAGTATTCTAAATGAGAAACAAAATACTTTATTACAAAAGTAATGCTTACAAACTATATAGCAATTTGAGCTAATATAAATGGATCCTGGCTTCAATTTCCTAATTCATGTAAAAATATTTATTGGTACATTTTGTGGTGGATACAGATCTTTGACTTGACCCAATTCATTTGCTATAACTAAACAGATTAGCATCAATTTACTTAATCAAATCATATAATGAACTGGCCACTTAAATCATCTAGGCAATTTAATCAAGATGGTATTGCCAATTGTTCAAATAGACAGTTGCAGCATAGCTCCCTTGTGTCAGGTTCTTTAAGGCAAACAAGAGATGTTTTTCTCTTAGAAAATACTGGCAATATTCTAAGGCAAATGGAACACTAGCCATGGGACAATCCTGTTAAATTCGGACTGCTTGTACTAACATCACGTCTCTCCCTACTGCAACAAGGTGATAAGATGAAAGTAAATGAATGGTTTTAATCACATAACAAACAGCTTTGTAATACTACAATGATATAAAGATTGTGAATAAGTCAATATTACTAGTAATTTTAGCACTGTACCGATAGAGAGCCTATGTGAAATCCTTTCATTACATCAACCCACCCTCAGAAAACCTCAAAAAAAAAAAAAAAAACAAACTTTCTGAATTTTACATTTTATCATTGTTTTATATTCATCAGTGTTATTTCCAAAATATTCCAGTTTCAATTCCTAGATTCAATGAAATGTGAGCAAAAGTGGAGTATATCACCTCTAGGTTGAGGATTTAATAACTTATGTGCAATTTACTTTCTCAACGCCTCAGGAACCAGAAAGTTCCAGAGAGCGACTACTCCATCAGCCAGGGTCTTGGACTAAATCAGATCCTCCAACCCTTACAGAATGGATATGGACAGTGAAACCCCACTTTTTTATTTTTAATATTTAAGATTTTAAAGTTGTTTCATTTGTTGCAACATATGTAACTACCTAATTCTAATGGAGTAACCTTGACATATACCATGTGTATTGATATAACAATCCCAAATCATCTAGGAAATGGTACAATAAAATAAATTCACCTATGCTATCAACTAAAGCAGCCACTTCTTTACAAGGACATTGATAAAAAGAACTATGAGGCAAGGCTAAACTGAAATCAAGCCTAGCTGTGCTTATTGTTCAAAATAAAGCTAACAGGTAGTGTTTATAATACATCTCTGAAAGCAGTAAAAATAAA